AAGTTAAAGTTACCTGCTGAGTGATGGGAGAAGGCAGCGAATAGGAAGGGCAGCAAACAGGAAGGGCAGCGAACAGGAAGTTAAAGAATCAAGAAGTTAAAGTTACCTGCTGAGTGATGGGAGAAGGCAGTGAACAGGAAGGGCGGTTTAGGGCGCAGCTTCGTGAGGGGAAAGGAAGGCAGCACCGGGCGAGGAGGACCGATTAGGGCACAACTTTGCAAGGGACGGGAAGGGAGCACCGACAACCTGGACTGATTAGGGCGAGAGGAAGCGATGGGAGGGAATCTGGGTGAAGGAAGCGGGAGGAAGGTGGGTGAAGCAATCGACAGGAAGCGATGGGAAGGAAAAGCCCGGATTTGTATTTCAAATCCCGCTAGTTTGCAAAGGATTTCTAAATCCCGCGTATAATGGATTTTAATGAAATCCCCGGATTCCAAATCCCTCCAATTTGGCAAACCAAACACAGGATTGGAATGGATTTTAAATCCAAATCCCCCCAATTCCATTCCATTCCTGCAAACCAAACGCACCCTTAGAGATTTCCATGTCCATACTTTTGAGTTTGTTTGCCATGTCGTTCATCATCAAAATGTGTTCGCACACACCACTAACACCATCATACTTTATGGTGAGCATTTTAAGTATAAGGGTACTTGCAAGTGCTTTAGATATACCCTTAAATTGCTCCTCCACAGAAGTCAAGTATCCCGTAGTCGTTTTAGAATTTGGGATTGCTCCTCTAATGGCTGAGGTTATGGAGATTTTGATTATCATAAGGGACATACATTTGAACACTCCCACTGTTCAAAGAGACGCTTTTCTTCAGCAGTGCTTTTATTAGTTAGAGCAGTTGGGCATTCAACCCTTAAAGCATAATCTAAGTCCATCACTCCAAGAGCAATTTTAATTTGCTCGTTTCAGGAAGTAAAGTTAGTCCCATTCAGTGGTTCAACTCTAGATATATATCTAGAGTTCCCCATCATTATTGAGTCTAGCATGTTAAAGTTAGAAAAATTAAGCTCATAACGAACTAAAAGCATTAAAATAAATAAATTACGGGCACATATATATTCATAAAACGTAAATCAGTTTGATCTATCACAAACATATATAATAGATCGTTATTTAAATTAAATTTAATTGTTGACCCTTCGTTGGTCCAGCCAACAATCAAATCGTTAATATTCTAACTAAATTATGCCGACTTATCAAAAATGTATCACCTTTGGGTAGAAAACATGTTAAAAAGTCAATAATGCGAGATGAGTTCCATCTAATAATTCACAATTTACTCTTTCGTTGGATTGAAACAAACCCTGAATTATCAAACATATTAAAGCATGAATTATTTTACGCTAAATCTCAACATAGAACAATCTTCCGTTGGGCCGATCATTCAAATTGAGTTATTATACATGATATAAAGACAAATAATTTAAGAACAAATTGAAATCTAATCATACAACATAAACCTTAACATTAAATTAATCATACAAGGAAGTACTGTGTGACGATGCAAAAAAAAAAAAAATGAGCCGGCAACATAAATCAATCATGCAGACCATAAGTAAATACCGCCATAATTTAAGAGCCACTCATATCAATGTATATTTAAATATGATCATGAAAATATGTGGCCATAAATATTAGAATTACACAACAGACTAATGCAAATAAAAAAAAAGAAGTTTTTAATGCCCATATCATATTTCACATGAAGAAACCGTCAAAACATACAGTTACTTTAAGCCTTTTTTTTAATCAGATTCTTACAAGTTTATCACAGAGAAGATAAACCAATTAATCGGTTTTAAAATTATGGTTTATGATAATTAAGTTTTAGATGATGCGATTAAAAGCAAAAGAATCAAATTTATCTTTTGGTTTTCTTTTTATGAACATGAATATCTTGATTAAGCAATTATTTTCACCAAGGCTCTGATACCAAATGTTGAATTAAACAACATAAATAAGCAAAAAGATCGAATTTTTTATGTTCATAATAAGGAATCATCGTGTATATTATGGTTTAATCTACAAGATGAGAAATGAAAACTTACTTGTAGTAATACTAGGGATTGTCTTACTTGATGAAGCCATGATGACTCAACGATACTCTCTTTAATGCAAAGTAATTATGATGGAGTTAGAATTTTGTGTTAAAGTCTTTGATTAATGGTGCATTCAAGATGATAGAATAAAGGAGACGATTTCTATATCATGCCGTTTTGCATCAAGAGAATGAATAAAAGAGATAACCACATATTTATAGTTAGTTACAGTCGGTTACAGGGACTAACATCGCCCATCAAGATAGTCGGAGGACCTGTATGTCAATAAGTCATAAATTAAATACTTAAGTAAAACATTTGTCACTAATATGAGATTAGGGGGTGAATGAGATTTGCTTATTTGAAAAAACTTATGCTTTTCTACAAAACTAATTATCAACTTATTATAAGTCAAAAGAATTTAACTTCTTCAAAAACTCCTTATTACCGGTTTGGCACTGGTATAGGTTGTTTATCCAAACACTCAAACGTGCTTATTACCGGTGTCACGCCGGAATAAGTCAATAAGTTGTTTTTATAAGCAATCCCAGACACCCCCTAAAATAATTATTAATATAAATAATCTAGGTCACTTAGATAGATCAAATTTCTAACAGAACGGACACAAACAAACATATTTTTTTAACAAACATGAATACAAAAAATTCTGTTTTCATTTACTGTTTATGTTACTTTATTTGTTCCGTTAAATTAAACGAACAATTATTTATTCATGTTCGTTCAGTTTGTTTATATTTCTATTTGCTAACACTTATTTGTCTATTTATAGTTTTATAATAATTAATGTATTAAATGTGATTATAATACAAAAGTGGTTGGATTTGGTTTGATCCATTACACTTTTTGTCCGTTTTATAGAAAATTACACTTATAAATAATTAATAAATAATTAATGTATTAAATATAGTTACAAATAAAATAACAGAATTGGATTGACCCACTAACATTGGGTCTAAAAATATTTTTATATGTTTAAGAAAACAAACATATATAAAATCACAACTTGTGTAAAACAATTAAAAATACATAACGATTTTTCTAACTTAAAATTAAACGTAAATATATAACAATGTAAATAATTTATAAAAAAATTCATTCGCAAAATATGGAGTAGGGGCGTTCAAAAAAACCGTTGGACCGCTTAAACCGGTCGAACCAAGTCAAAGCGGACCTTTTTGACGGTTTGAGTGATCTGGCGGTCCGGTCTGGTTTGGAAAATAGCAAAACCGGGCGATCCGGTCAGCGGTCTGGAACCTTTTTTGGGCGGTTTGGACCAAACCGACCGTCAAATACATACATACATACATATACATACATACATACATACATATACATACATACATACATATATATACATACATATATATATATATATATATATATATAGGGGCTCATTCAAGGGAGAACTAATTAGTTTGTGATAACTGTGAGATCCAATCTCAACCATAAATCAACGGATAAATTAGAAAACTAATAATTATGGTAGTTTGAGTTAAAATTATAATTAGAGAGTTTTTTAGGTATTT